TTTAACTCATGGCAACCCCATGTACAACAGAACAAAACATTGCCCAGTCCTGAACCATTTTCATGATCATTGAATATCACTGTATATTTTGAGTGGTGGCAACAAAGGACTCGAGCATAGCAATTCCAGCTTAGGAGGCTCATCTTCCAGCACTATAACAGATAATACTCTGTCGTGATCCATACGATTGTCATTGGCTAATTTTCAGAAGTAGATCACCAGGTCTGTAGATCACTAAAGCCTGTCCACCTTGAGTGACCCTGTTGGTATTTAAAATACCAGTGGCAGAGCTTCCAGCATGATACCAATACACATGCCATCACAGCATGACAAATTGATAGTCCCCAACTTCTGGGCCTGTCCCAAGACATTTCTTCCCCCAGCTTTCCCACCATGGGGCTTCTCCAGTTCTTACAGACTGTAATTTCTTGCTCTCATCTCTAAACGTCCATCTGGTTGCTGAGATTCACTTTAGAGTCTGAACCTAGAATCAGTTACTACTTTAGGAAACCCCAAATCATCTCCTGCTGCCCACTCCAAAAAAAATAATAATAACCGACCTCAGCACAAATAAGACTTAAGAGATCAAGAACTCAGGGATACGAAACCTGCCAAAACATTGAGATGAAAGAGATCATAAAAAGAGATGAAGCCTATCAAAGCAGGACAGAAACAAGATTTTAAATAGGAAAGTAAAGTCTGACAAGGCAGGTTTTCATGGGGTTCTCCAAGGTCAGCAAGCCTGTTGCTTTCTTTCCTCTTGATTTGGAGTTTTTTTAGTCTAGTTTTGTTTAGTTTTGAATGCCTCCAATAGCTTCTTCCCACACCTTGATCACCCAAAAGGAAAACTATAGTTTTCTCTCATCACCCAGGAGCCACATTTAGCCACTTCCACCCACATTCCACATTCTTGGACAAGAAGTCTGTCTGGGAGAACTGTGGGGGGAGAACAAGGTGAGGGCTTGTGTTCCCTCTGGGCATAATCAGTCCCAATATCCAAGGGGGGACTTCAAAAAAGAAGGCTTTTCAGCCTTACAATATCTTGAGGAAATCCCTGCACTTAAAAGGTATATCAATGAGATGTCTCTGAGCATATTTTCCAGCATCTCTCTGAGTCTAAAATCCACCCAGCTAACACGCTGAGGCGGGACTCCCCGCTGTCTGCAGACTTCCTGTTTCAGCCTAACCTGTGGAACATACCACCTGGGTTCATATTGTGGAAAAAGCCCATTCTTTCCCACATGTTTTGGGCTCTAGTCTGGTTACCTCATGCCTTTCTTGAAACTATAAACATCTTTGGGCAGGGATCTTCTTGCAAGTTTTGAAGCAAGGATTTAAGATTAGGTGTTACCTGAGGGCAAGTTCTCCAGGCCTGCTTTTCATACAACACATAGTGTTTTCAAACAACCTCCAGTCTGTTATCTTGAAATATACTTCCCAACTGAAACCTTCTTTAGTAATTATTGGACATAATAATATTTCTTGTGTAAACTTGTGCCATGAAAATATTACTTTATGAATATTAAAGAGAGAATATGAAAAAATAAAATTATTCCGGGGGGGGGACGTTCTTCAGAAAACCTTAAATTCTTGAATAATTTCAGTGCGTTTAACCTGAAAATGCTTTTTATGAGATCTCTACAGTTTAGAGAAAATTATGGACTAGTGTTATTCCAAGAGTTTATTGTAAATTATTTGCGATTCAGTGAGTTTTGTCATAGAGACAATGGCATAAATGATGCTTGAATGACAGGACAAATCCTCATTAGCATATTTATTCTTAAGGCATTAAAACTTATGCTAATTGTACTATTTCCATTATAATAAACTTCCATGTATACTCGAGAATCCAGGAATATATCACCTACTTCAACATGCCTCCTCCTCACACATACCCTTGTATAGGCTCCAGCACTGCATAAAAGGGAAGAAAACTGATGTTTATTTAGCTCCTACTACGTGCTGACACGGAAACCTTGGTGGCATAGTGGTTAAGAGTTTGGCTGCCAACCAAAAGGTTGGCAGTCTGAATCCACCAGGCGCTCCTTGGAAACCCTATGGGGCAGTTCTACTCTGTCCTATAGGGTCACTATGAGTCAGAATCGACTTGACAGCAGTGTTTGTTTTTGTTTGTTTGTTCGTTTATGTGCTGACATGGAGCTCTGGTGGTGAAGTGGTTAAGAGTTCAGCTGCTAACTTAAAGGTCAGCAGTTCAAATCTACCAGCTGCTCCTTGGAAACCCTATGGGGCAGTTCTACTCTATCCTATACGGTTGCTATGAGTTGGAATTGACACAGCGGCAACATGCTCGGTTTTTTGGTTTATGGGCTGACATGAGGCTATATGTTAAATCCTGCATAATGCCCTATTGATAAGACATTTGAAAATTTAATCACTGAAAATCTGACAGGGCTTATAATTATATAGCCACATGTTAATGTTGGAATCTTTCTAGTTATTCATGACCTAGAGCATTTCTCTACGTGCCAGGGGACAATGCTTGGTGATAGACGAAAAGATAAACAAGACAGTATTTCTACTCTCAGTGAAGCTTATAGAAGAACGTGCAAAGCAGACATCTAAGCAGGCAGTGGCCTTAGAGCAATGCCTCATTTATCTTGCATTTTCATAGGCAGCATGGTCTATTAATACCGACCAGCAGTTTTGGAGTCAGATTGAGTTGTGTGAAACCATTTAACAAATTACAAAACCTTACCCCCACAGTTGTCATGAGGCTTTGTGCGAGAACGTATGGACACCACCTGTAGTGTCCTGTGTGAAATAAGAACTTTAAAAAATGCTGGTTCTCGTCCTCCACCACCCAATCCCTGATATTTAACATCATATATGGAATTTAACGGCACTTTTTTAAAAGATAGAACTCTGGTGACACAGTAGTTAAGAGCTACAGCTGCTAACCAAGAGGTCGGCAGTTCAAATCCCCCAGCCACTCCTTAGAAACCCTGTGCTACTCTGACCTATAGGGTTGCTCTGAGTCAGAATCAACTCGATGGCAACAGGTTTGGTTTTTAAAAATGAAATTCCTGATTTCTGAACCACAGAGGAACATGTTCAAGGCTGGGAATGTAATTGCTGCTCTGCTGGGCAGCCTACATAGTAACTGTATCCTCCTACTGGTATCCTGCTTCTTCCACTGTAGACAGTTTCAGTACAAAAAGTGCTGTGGGAAATGTGGGTCATCTATACAAGATGGACCTTTCATTATCACTTAACACGGACCACAACTTGCTTTGGAGTTGAATCCTACATATAATTGTAAAATCTGTGTTGCTGCAAAAGAATATATTTCCAAGCTGAACCAATGACATTATTTAGAAATAACCTTCTATTATTTTCCTTTATTTTCTTGTTTAGTAAATCTCCCCTTGCTCAAAGTGGCCTGGCAAAGTGTAGTTAACAGGAACCTTCAGCAAATTTTAAAAATCCATTCAGGAGGCTCATTTGAGGAATGGAAAAGCTAAGCCTAAGAACATTTGAGAAAATGTCAGGGGCTTCTTTAGAACTTGCTTAAAGCTCAGATCTAGTCAGCAACAAGTTCTTCCCTTTTAGGTGAATAAGGAATGTTCTCTACGGTGCCTTTGGGCTCTTAATTTTTATGATTTAAAGTGAATGAGGTTTCCTTAAGAGAGCAAGATTTTAATGATATGAGCAGTGAATGTGAACCCTTAAGCTCTTCTTCAGAAATTCATTTCAAGGGACTGATTCATGCCTTCAGTATTCATCAAAGCCCAAGCCTGTACCTACTCTGTGGAAGAAAGTTTCTTTCAAGGAGCATGCCTTTTTGTGACTGATGAACACTGCCAAAGCAACATGCATTTTTAACCTACATTTACAATATTTGGTGTAAGTCCACAGAAATGTTTCTAGCTGATCAAATGTTCCCTGATCCACTTCACCCTAGCTGGGGGCAAGCAATGAAATACAACGTTCTATGAATTTTAGTTATTGTTTTAATTAAAATTCTTATTTATCCTCAGTATAAATTTTTCATCTAGGCACATCTTAGATTATTTCCAACACAGAACCCCTGAGTGTTTTGGATAACCCAATATACACAACAGTTGTCATTCAAATTTGGATAGGTCTTCCTGAAGAGGTCCAGTGCAGAGGAAGAAACTGAGCTAAGAGAGAATAATGATAGATAACTTGCTGAGGGCCTTGTTATATTCATTTAATCTAAGGGCCTTCCATAGTCATTTAACCATCATAATTACCCTATAAAAAATCTCTTACTGTCAAGTAGAACTGCGAGCCATAGGGTTTTCAGTTAGGTATGTACGATTAATACGCCCATATTACAAATGGAGAAAATTGAGACGCAGAAAGTTTCCCAAGGTTACACAGCTGTTAAGGGGTAGAGACAGGTTACAAAGCCAAGGGCCAAGCAGTGCTTTACAAGGGATCTGTGTGAGACAAATTTACTTGGGACTGACCTCTGAAGAGTCTGATTCAATTACGGTGGGATGGGATGGAGGTGGAGGAAGTGCTCTGCGGAGCCAGCTCATACTGGCTCACAAGAACTGACTCTAAGACTTTCAGGAATTTTATCACATGGTTAACCTACAATTTCACCTTGATAGCTTGAAATCAGTCATGTGGGAGTATTTATGCCATGGGAATCACTAAATACTACAAATCAGCCCCTTTTCCTGCCACCCTTCCTCCCCGCTACTTCCACCCTTTCATCTGTGCACCCCCCACCCTGTAACACACAGGGTCACCATGAGTTGGAATCGAATCTACAGCAATGAGTTTTTTTTTTTGTTTGTTTGATAGGTGATCTAAGACTCAGTCAGGGTTGAAAACCACTTCCGGTAGACTGCTAACTGTAGTTTCTTCAATGGGTGATACCAGAGCAGGGAGAAGATGGGATGTACACATTTTACTTTATGTTTGAAACAAGCCTGCATTTTTTCGTAAAATAATATGTCAAATTTAAAAAAACATATTTTTCAAGATTGCCTCTGTCTTTTACTTACGGATGTAGAAATAGCAGCTGATATCTTAGGGCTTGGCAATTGGCTTGATGTAGTATTAATGAGTGAAGGTTCTCGCCAAGGTCTATAGAGAAAAGTCAAGAACAGCAGAGTCAGTGTGAACAATCAAGAACGGATTCTTAGCAGACAGAGGACAGCTCTAAGCAGGAGTCTTTGGGTGGCCCTGGCTCCAGGTAGCAGGTGAAGACTGAGGAAATTACGCAGTCAGACACAGGGAGGTCAGACACCAAAGAACTGGAGACTAGTCCTGATGCCTGGGCTTCAGCGACATGAGTAGAGTCGCCACCTGGGTCAAAGAAAATTGCACCAGATGATGTTCAACAGGCATGGATGACTTTATTCAAATGCTATTTGCAGTAGGGGAGAGAGACCTAAACCAAGTCTGAACTTGACTCTACTGAAACAATGGATAGCAGGGTTTGTATGGGATGAGGTGGGCTAATGAAAAAGTCCTGGAGAATGTTACAGAGTTGATCATTGGGATGGGTGAATGATTTACTGAGTTTGAAATTAGGACCATTTGGCTCAGAAAGTTTTCTTTTGCTGAGATTAGACCACCTGCATGCTGTAGGAGCTGGCAGAAAGGAAGCGAGAGATAAAACAGGAACAAGCTTGTCTAAAGTTTAGTCAGGCTGAAAAAAAAAAAAAATCCATTGCTGTCTACTCAATTGTGACTCATAGCAACCCTATAGGACAGAGTAGCACATCTTTCACCTGAGGAGCAGCTGGTGGGTTTGAACTCTTTAACCACTGAGCCACCAGTGTTCCTGTCACACATTGTTCATCTTAAATTTACCTGATAATTGAGGTAGCCACCTGTGTTTGCTAACTGACTTTTTCCAAAAGAAAAATGAACTTCTCATATCTTTATGACAGGAGGTAGTTTTGCAACTTGGAGCAAGGCACCAGCCAGTTAGGTTCCTACACCACAGAAGTTGAGAGAGAGGGGTGCTGTCTTCCTTGATGATTACATTTCAAAGAGATGGCTCCTAGGTCCTTGAGGAAATATTTCTGGGTTGGTGAAAAGATTAACTTTTTTAAAGGATTTATATACATTTCAAAAGAGCAGAGAAAGGATTTATAATGATACGTTTTCTCAAGTAAACTCTCTAAGAAAAGGGAGGAAGAAGTCTCCTTTGCTTTTTGTACCAGGGAAAAAATTTTTTTTTCTTTTTCAATTTGTATTTACCCATAAAGAATACATGAGTCTTATCTAAGTCATACAGGGAAGAGTGATTCTTTGCAGTAGGTCATTTTCCAGAACATGAACGGTGGGCTTGAAAGATAAGGAATATGCATCATACAAAAGCCAGAATATAGAGGGGACAGTGGGGCCTCATTATGTTCATGTAATGATGAAGTCACCCTTAAGTTTTTCAATCAACACAAAATAGAAAACTTTTGAGAATGAAAAATGACTCTTAATGCTGAACACAAAGAGATATGTCCATAGACTAGTAACCTACAGAATCATGTTGGCAAAACTTTTCAGTAGCCAATTAAGATGCATCCTTTCAACAGTATCATCCTTTCAATCTGACCCATTTGCTTGAAGGTAATCAAAAGTGATGATGATATATCAAATAAAGTTACTGTCCACAAAACCTCAAATTCATGGAGCTCTTTGGGGACAGTCACTTGAGTAGTGCTTATCACATAATAGATATTCAATTAATATTTATTGAGTGGAAATGTTGGTGTGTGGTGGTATGTGTATGGCAAATCACTGCAGCCGACCTGCAATAGCTAAAGTAGACATTTCAGAAGGAAATTAGGTGGTCTATCAGAGTACATTTTGATGAAGCCTTTTTAGTCACTTACTGGAGTAAAATAGGGTCCTTTCTTAGGTTAAACATAGTAGAACAAATGACATGTATTAAAAAGGTTAAGAGTCTTTTAAATATTAGAAATATTTCATGCCACACATTGGAATATATGAGTATATTTTCTTACTAATCTTTCTAATAGCATAAATGTCATTTTGAAGACTAAGGTGTGCCTGACCCAAGCTATGATATTTTCAATCGCCTCATATGCATGCGAAAGCTGGACTATGAATAAGGAAGATGGAAGAAGAATTGATGCCTTTGAATTATGGTGTTGGTGAAGAAAATTGAATATACCATGGACTGCCAGAAGAACAAACAAGCCTATCTTGAGTGCTCCTTGGAAGGGAGGATGGTGAGACTTTGTCTCACATACTTCAGACATATTATCAGGAGGAACCAGTCCCTGGAGAAAGACATCATGCTTGGTAAGGTAGAGGGTGAGTGAAAAAGAGGAAGACACTCAACAAGATGGATTGACACAGTGGCTGCAACAATGGGCTCAAAACATGGCAGTGATTGTGAGGATGGCACAGGACCAGGAAGTGTTTCGTTGTGTTGCTCATATGGTCACTGTGAGTCAGAACTGACTCCATCGCACCTGACAACAACAATAATGGCATCAAAATTTATTGTTTACTATCCTAGTCAGTTTAACTCCTTCTGAGATATTTTTCTTCTATCCCTTTAGTTTTCTTGTTCTACTTTGACAATCTAAATATTTCAAAATTATCTTCTGCCAATTTGAGGACATAGCTGTTTTAATTTTTTACTGCTAAAAGGAATTAAACAAATTAATAGTATTCTATATATGCTAGCATGTTCTCAATCTCTTTGACATTTTTGGCAACTTTTAAAAGTATCCTTTACTACTTTGCTCATATTTAGGATTTTTTCTTGGCCAATTTACCTACAACAACTTTCATTTATTTTAAATTTTTGCTGACTATTTCGTTCTGTGTGACTGTGCCAAGAGGCTCAACCTTGGAGACTTTGAAGCTACACTGTCAAAGAAGCATGAATCACTCCTTTTTGTCTAATAATCTCTAATTACTTGCCAGATAAACTCCACTTGAAATAGATGCTCTGGCAAGAAGCTCAAGCTGTTAGACAGCAAGGAGGCAAAGACTGAGAAGAAGCATCTAGGAAGATTCCGCCCTAGGCTCTCCATTCACTTGTGTTTCCACCCCAGTGAAGGATTCCATACAGGAGGGAGTCTCCCATTCCATAGGAAGCCAGAGCCAGCTCAGAACTCTGCTAAGCACTTTAGTATGCCATTCCTTTTTTATGGTGCTGTGATAAATAACAGTTTTTCAGTCCAGAAATCTGAAATGGTTTCAGTGGGCCAAAACCAAGCTGTCAGCTAGGTCATGCTCCTTCTAAATGTTTTAGGGGAAAATCCATTTTCTCACCTTTTACACCTTCTAGAGCTGCATTCTTTGCATTTCTTTGCTTCTGGCCCCTTGCTCCATCTTTAAAGCTGGAACATAGCATCTAGCTTTAGATGCTTTAACTGGCTTCCTCTTGTAAAGACACTTGTGATTACATTTAAGCCCCACTCAGACAATGAAGGATAATTTCATATCTCAAGATCCTTAACTTGGTCACATCTGCAAAGTCTCCTTTGTGATATAACATAACAGTCACAGATTTCAGCAATCAGGACCTGGATATCTTTGTTGTTGTTGTTGTTAGGTGCCATTAAGTTGGTTCCGACTCATAGCGACCCTATGCATCACAGAATGAAACAGTGCTCCGTCCTGCGCCATGCTCACTATCGTTGTTATGCTTGAGCCCATTGTTGTAGCCACTGTGTCAATCTATCTCCTTAAGAGTCTTCCTCTTTTCCACTGACCACGTACTTTACCAAGCATGATGTCCTTTTCCAGGGACTGACCCCTCCTGACAACATGTCCAAAGTATGTTAGACGTAGTCTCACCATCCTTCCTTCTAAGGAGCATTCTGATTGTACTTCCTGCAAGACAGATTTGTTCGTTCTTTTGGTAGTCCATGGTATAGTCAATATTCTTCACCAACATCACCATTCAAAGGCGTCAATTCTTCTTCGGCCTTCCTTATTTGTTGTCCAGCTTTCACATGCATATGATGTGATTGAAAATACCATGGCTTGGATCAGGCGCACCATAGTCTTCAAGGTGATATCTCTGCTTTTCAACACTCTAAAGAGGTCTTTTGCAGCAGATTTGCCCAATGAAATGAGACTTTGGATTTCCTGACTGCTGCTTCCATGAGTGTCGATTGTGGATCCAAGTAAAACGAAATCCTTGACAACTTCAATATTTTCTCCCTTTATCATGATGTTGCTTATTGGTCCAGTTGTGAGGATTTTTGTTTTCTTTATGTTGAGGTGTAATCCATACTGAAGGCTGTGGTCTGTGATCTTCATCAGTAAGTGCTTCAAATCCTCTTCACTTTCAGCAAGCAAGGTTGTGTCATCAGCATATCACAGGTTGTTAATGAGTCTTCCTCCAATCCTGATGACCCTTTCTTCTTCATATAGTCAAGCTTCTCGGATTATTTCCTCAGAATACAGATTGAATAGGTATGGTGAAAGGATGCAACTCTGATGCACACCTTTCCTGACTTTAAACCATCCAGTATCCCCTTGTTCTGTCCGAACAACTGCCTCTTGATCTGCGTACAGGTTCCTCATGAGCACAATCAAGTGTTCTGAAATTCCCATTCTTCACAATATTATCCATAATTAGTTATGATCCACACACTTGAATGCCTTTGCATAGTCAATAAAACACAGGTAAACAACTTTCTGGTATTCTCTGCTTTCAGCCAGGATCCATCTAACATCAGCAATGATATCCCTAGTTCCACGTCCTCTTCTGAATCCGGCTTGAATTTCTGGCAGTTCCCTGTTGACATACTGCTACAGCTGCTTTTGAATGATCTTCAGCAAAATTTTACTTGTGTGTGATATTAACGATATTGTTTGATAATTTCCACATTCGGTTGGATCGCCTTTCTTGGGAATAGGCATAAATATGAATCTCTTCCAGTCGGTTGGCCAGGTAGCTGTTTTTCAAATTTCTTGGCATAGACAAGTGAGCACTTCCAGTGCTGCATCTGTTTGCTGAAACATCTCAATTGATATTCCATCAATTCCTTGTTTTTCGCCAATGCCTTCAGTGCAGCTTGGAGTTCTTCCTTCAGTAGTGTGTTAGTCATCTGGTGCTGCTTTAACAGAAATATCACAAGTGCATGAATTTAACAAAGAGAAGTTTATTCTCTCACAGTCCAGTAGGCTACAAGTCCAAATTCCGGGTGTCAGCTCCAGGGGAACGCTTTCTCCATTGGCTCTGGGGGAAGGTCTGTGTCACCATTTTCCATTGGTCTGGGAGTTTCTCTGCGCAGGAACCTCAGGTCCAAAGGACACGCTCTGCTCCCGGCACTGTTTTCTTGGTGGTATGAGGTTTCCATGTGTCTCTATTTGCTTCTCTTTTATATCTCAAAACAGATTGGATTAAGACATTATCCAATCTTGTAGACCTCATCAGTATAACCTCATCATAGTGATAGAGTTTACAACACATAAGGAAATCACATCAGATTACACAATCATACAATACTGGGAATCATGACCCAGTCAAGCCAGCAGACATTTTTGGGGAACACAATTCAATCCATGACAAGTACCATCGGTTCCTGATCATATGCTACCTCTTGAAATGGTTGAATGTCCATCAATTCTTTTTGGTATAATGACTCTGTGTATTCCTTCCATCTTCTTTTGATGCTGCCTCCATCGTTGAATATTTTCCCCAAAGAATCCTTCACTATTGCAACTCGAGGCTTTAATTTTTTCTTCAGTTCTTTCAGCTTGAGGAATGCTGAGCGTGTTCTTCCCTTTTAGTTTTCTATCTCCAGCTCTTTGCACAAGTCATTATAATACTTTACTTTGTCTTCTCAAGCTACCCTTTGAAATCTTCTGTTCAGTTCTTTTACCTCATCATTTCTTCCTTTTGCTTTAGCTACTCCACATTCAAGAGCAAGTTTCAGAGTCTCTTTGGACATCTATTTTGGTCTTTTCTTTCTTTCCTATCTTTTTAATGACCTCTTGCTTTCTTCACGTATGATGTCCTTGATGTCATTCCACAACTTATCTGGTCTTCAGTCATTAGTGTTCAACACGTCAAATCTATTCTTGAGATGGTCTCTAAATTCAGGTGGGATATACTCAAGGTCATACTTTGGCTCTCATGGATTTGTTCTAATTTTCTTCAGTTTCAACTTGAACTTGCATATGAGCAGTGGATGGTCTGTTCCACAGTCAGCCCCTGGCCTTGTTCTGACTGATGACATTGAGCTTTTCCATTGTTTCTTTCCACAGATGTAGTTGATTTGATTCCTGTGTATTCCATCTGACAAAGTCCATGTGTATAGTCACCATTTATGTTGGTGAAAAAAGGTATTTGCAATGAAGAAGTCATGGTCTTGCAAAATTCTATCATGCGATCTCTGGCATCGTTTCTATCACTGAGGCCATATTTTCCAATTACCGATCCTTCTTTGTTTCCAACTTTTGCATTCCAATCACCAGTAATTATCAATGTATCCTGACTGCATGTTCGATCAATTTCAGACTGAAAAAGTTGGTAAAAATCTTCCATCTTTTCATCTTTGGCCTTAGTGGTTGGTGCATAAATTTGAATAATAGTCTTATTAACTGGTCTTCCTTGTAGGCGTATAGATATTATCCCATCACTGACAGCTTTGTACTTTAGGATAGATCTTGAAGTGTTCTTTTTGACGATCAATGAAACACCATTCCTCTTCAAGCTGTCATTCCTCGCATAGTAGACCATATGGTTGTCTGATTCAAAATGGCCAATACCAGCCCATTTCAGCTCACTAATGCCTGGGATATTGATGTTTGTGTGTTCCATTTCATTTTTGACAATTTCCAATTTTCCTAGATTCATACTTTGTAGCTTCCACATTCCAATTATTAATGGATGCTTTCAGCTGTTTATTCTCATTTTGAGTCGTGCCACACCAGCAAATGAAGGTCCCGAAAGCTTGACTCCATCTACATCATTAAGGTTGACCCTACTTTGAGGAGGCAGCTCTTCCCTAGTTGTCTTTTGAGTGCCTTCCAACCTGGAGGCTCATCTTCCAGCGCTATATCAGACAGTGTTCCTCTGCTATTATAAGGTTTTCACTGGCTAATTCTTTTCAGAAGTAGACTGCTGGGTCCTTCTTCCTAGTCTGTCTTAGTCTGGAAGCTCAGCTGAAACCTGTCCACCATGGATGACCCTGCTGGTATCTGAATACCGGTGGCATAGCTTCCAGGATCACAGCAACACACAAGCCCCCACAGTAGGACAAACTGACAGACATGTGGGGGTGGATATCTTTGGGATAAAAAAAATAGAAAGAAAGATAACACACTGTGGTAGGCTGATGGATATCTTTGGGAGCCATTAATCAGCCTACCACAGTGTATTAGCTTTCTATTTTTTAACTTGTCTCACTAAACACATATTTGCATGTGTTTTTTAAACTTCTATACATTTGAACTTCAATAGGGAGCATTTTCTCATCGTTATTTATTCTCCTATTTTTTTTTCCATTCATTCCTTCTTTCCACTTAGAGCTGAGCAACAACCTTGTGCCACACTCTGGTCTAAGTGTTTGGAAAACATCATCGTGGAGTTTACATTCTGGGATGAGGGTGGGATATAGAGACAGACAATAAGCAATAAACAGAATTAACGAGTTTATTATGTAAAATTTTAGAAGATAATACATGCTAAGAAGAAAAAGAAACTATAGGGAATTAAGGAGTGTGATGGGAGAGGTGGGTGTGGGCTGCCATTTTAAATAGGATAGTTAGAGTCAGCATTGCAGAGATGATGCACTTGGAGTTAGCAGGCAGGTATTAGGGGAAGAGTGTGTTGTAGGAAGATTGACTGCCACGTGCACAGGCCTAGGGCAGAAGCATGCCTGGCATGTCTGAGGAAGAGCAAGGAGGCCAGTGCAGCTGGAGCAGTGAGCAAGAGAGGAGTAGTAAGAGATAAGATCAGAGAAGAGGCTGCAGATTGTATAGTTCCTTGTAGGATATGGGAGAGACTTTGGCTTTTATTCTCAGTGATTGAGGAGTTGTAGCCCCTCTAAAGCCACTCTCCTCCCTCTATATCAATCTCTGACTCAGAGGCTGATCTCTACAGAGTGCATCAGCAGATCTCCTGTCCCTTAACTTTTGGGTGGATTGAGGCAATGAGGAAAGCCACCAGGAGATGGGGGAAGGGATAAGAGAGTTCAGGCTCCCTCCATCAGTATTGCCTCACTTTGTTTGCATCTCTTTATTAAAGTTCACTGTTCCTGTCAAAATGGTCCTCTTCATACACTCTTTCCTCCAAGTCCAGTAAATGTACTTTCCTTTAGGGATTACAAGCTGTTGTAGTCTAGAGTATTGCACTGTCCATTGTGGTTTCCCTACATCCTGCCAACATCTTTATAAAGACCCCTTTTATTAAACCTTTTTCACGTTATCCTAATCAGATCATAAAATCTGTTTCCTATTGGGATCTAGCTGAATATAAAAGCCACTGGAGAGGTTTCAGCAGAAAAGTGGCATGATTTTCTTTTTCAATATTCATATTCCATTTAAACTTTCAGCTTCAAATTTTAATTTTCTCCTATTAAGCTCATATTAAAATTAAATCAACAAATAAGTAATGAGTACCTACAAGGTGGCAGACACTGAAATAGTTGCTGGGGAGCCATCAGTGAACAAAATAAAACAAAAACAAATCCATGTGGACATGTAGCTTACATGCTACTCAAGCTGGCAGACAGTATTTAACTGAATAAATACTTGGTATGTCATAGAGAGGTAAATACATAGTAAAAAAATAAAGCAGTGATTTCCAGTCATAGGACTGATATGTAAGGAGCTTAGAAATAGTCACCTCCATCCTTACTATAAGAAAAATCTTGACTAACTGAAAACCAATGACTTTTCTTTGACCTATCAGATAATTGAAGTCTCAGGGCAAACCACCATCCCAAAATCTGGAGAAATATTTACATCCAGAGAGTCGCAGCTGAGACCTGCTTACCTAAAACAGAATTTGCTGGAGCCATAAACTGGTTATTTTAACAAATTATTTGAGGCTCAAGTGGACTTGAAAGTGAGAAACTATTGGTGGCTGTAATCTTAAGGGTGGGTCCCCAAATTTTCATGGGTTTGACCTCCAGGAACATCACCAGTCTCTACAGTGAAGATGAAAATAATGATAATAATACCCTCATAGCTCTGGCAGAACAGAAGGAAGAAATAATTATTGTGAAATATACCCAGAGCCTTCTCCATAGCAAAGGCCTACTCTCCAGGAGAAAAGACTTTGTTTGCTAAAACCCTATCCAGCTGGAAAAAGGGAATTGATCCCACTCCAGCCCCCTACAGCCTTCTTTTTTCACCTATGTAGGTGAAAAACATATCAACAGGGGCCAGGGATTCAAGAAAATAGATTGAGAATCTGCAGCCAGGGAACCATGGAAGGGAGTGAGGATGGGGGCAGGAGGGGGGAGTGAATATATACCACTGCAGACACATTTGCCAAGGTCACAGCCAAGACACATAGCTCTATTAAAAGGCTAAGATTGAATCAGAAGTTTATAGATCACTCTTCCTCCTCCACACTTTACCACCACACAAACAGGACTCCAGTACAATAAAAGTAGATTACAGCTGAAAGAGCTGCTAGACACAGACTCAGTCTATGAAGGGGTACTTACGACAGCACAGTCAAGACGAAAGGGAGACAAAAACAAGGTCATTAGAGGAATCTTAAGTCTCTTGCACTTGTATCTACAGCAAACATTAGACATAGCCCAACTCCTAGCCAGAATGATATAAATCCTCATACTAAAGGCATATTTACTTCATTTCCTATTACCTGATGCAAGATGTCTATTTCTCAAGAGAAAATTACAAAACATGCCAAAGACATGAGGAAATACAGTCTGAAGAGACAAGGCAATAATCAGATGGAGATTCAGATATGACACAGATTTTGAAATTATCAGAAAGGGAATTTAAAATAGCTGTGATTAATGGAGACAAAAGACAAAGCAATAATCATATGGAGACTCAGCTATGACACAGATTTTGTAATTATCAGACAGAGAATTTAAAATAACTATGATTAATACATTAAGGGCCCTAATGGAACAAGTAGACAGCATGCAAGAACAGATGGGTAATGTAAGCAGTAAGACAGAAACCCTAAGAATAAAAAGTAAATACTACAAATCAAAACCACTAACAGAAATGAAAAATGCATATGGTGGGCTCAGTAGACTGAACACAGATAAGGAAAGAATCAGTGAATTTGAAGATATGTCAATAGAAACTTCCCAAACAGAAATCAAAGAGAAAAAAGAACCATATAATAATAGATCAAAATGTCTAAGAACTGTGGGATGATACGAAAAAATGTAAGTGTTTGTAATTGAAGTACCAGAAGGAGAAAAGAGAAGAATGGAGCAGAAAAAAATATTTGAAATAGTGGCTGAGAACATTCCAAAATTAATAACAGAAAACAAACCCCAGATCCAGAAATTTCAGAGAACACCAACAGGTGAACAGCCCCCCCAAAAAGCTATACTTATGCATATCATATTCAAACTGCAGAAAACCAAAGACTAAGACAAAATCTTAAGAGAAACCAAAGGCAGAGGAGGAAGCCTGTTACCTACAGAGGAACAAGGATAAGAAATACAGTGTACTTCTTGCCAGAAACCATGTAAGCAAGAAGAGAGTGGAGTGAAATATGAAAATAATTGGGGGGGTGGGGTACCAACCTAGAATTCTATATATAGCAAAATTATCTTTTAAAAGTGAAAGAGAGATGAAGACTTTTCTCAGACAAGCAAAATCATGAAAATCATTGCCAGCAGAACTGCTCTGCAAAAAATGTTTTAAAAAGCTTTTCAAGCAGAAGGAAAAGGATATAGGTCTGTAACTTGAATCTACATTAAAAAAAGAAAGAGCATTGGAGAAGGATTAAATGAAGGTGTGATTGTCAGTTTTATGTGCCAATTTGGCTAGGCTACAGTCCACAGTTATCAAATAGAACACTAATCCAGGTGTTTCTGTAAAGATATTTTGTAGATGTGATTAAAGTCTATAATTAGTTAACTTTAAGTAAGGGAGATTATCCTAGATAATCTGGGTGAGCCTGATTCGATCAGTTGAAAGGTCTTAAAATCACAGCTAAGAGTTCCCTGAAGAAGAAATCCTACCTGTGGACAACAGTTTCAGCTTTGGCAACTTCAGCAGCTTAAGCGTTCCAGCCTGTCCTTCCTGGTAGCCTGTCCTACAGATTTTGGACTTGCCTAATTAGCCCCCAAAATTGTATAAGCAAATCCCTTGCAATCAATCTCTTAATATATATCTCCTACTTTTTCTATTTATCTGATTGAATCCTGATGGATACAGAACATAATTTTATTTTCCTTATTCTGAATTAATCTTTGAAAATCTTGCTTTTAAACAGTGTATTGGGTGAGTGTAGCATTACGGATAAGTGAGATTAATGGCAGCAATGTCATGAGGGACAGGAGGGAGGAATTAGGAATACTCTGTCATAATTTACCTGCACTACATGTGATGCAGTATAGTGTTGTGTGAAAGTAGACTTAGATTAGTTAACAATGTGTATTGTAAACTCTAAGACAATCACTAAAATTTTTAAAAGGAAGTATAATTGATACACTAAGAGAGGAGATAGAATGGAATTATGTAAAATGTTTAATTAAAGATGGGGGGTACAGGAACAAAGAACAAATGCAAGGAATAGAACAGAATGCGGTAAACATTAAGCCAACTATATTGGAGAGCATTGCATATGTAAAGCATAGGTAACTTTTATAGGGGTTAATCTATTCTTTATGCTATTTTAATGGTGGATACATAACACTATACATTTGTCAAAATTCATAGAACTTTATAGCACAAAGAGTAGACCTTATGTATGCAATACCAATGATCATGAAGATGGTGTAGGACCAGGCAACATTTCATTAGGTTATAAATAAGATCACCATGAGTCAGAGCTGACTCTATGGCAACCAGCAATATAACAATGTATGCCAATTAAAACACGTACATACACATTTAGGTGGTCAGGGGATCCCAGGATGTAATGCAGTCTGTGATGGAAAGATCTAACTATATTATAAATGTAGGAAAGAACCTCACTGAAGGGGATGTGAGAGAAGGTGCTGACCTATGTAAAGCTGAGAATGAGCAGAATCTGTAAGACTAAAGCCAAAAAGAATTTTAGATAAGCACAATACTTGATTCATAAAATTGTTTCCCATAGGGGTGTGGGTTAACAATTCTGAAACCCCTACACATGTAAAATGGAATTGAAAATTTAAATAAATGGGTGGCAGATGGTTGGAGCCAGGTTTCTCACTATTGGGATGAGAGATTAGAGACAAGCAAGGGGAAGAGGCTAGAATAATCATGTGATAACGGATTAGAGTTGGAGACATCAGTATGAACTTATGTTCAGCTTAATATAGACAGATGGACATATGTAAAAATACTATTAAAAAGATATATTAGTATATATACATATATTTTCTGGCTTATCAGCTGAGAGGGCTGAGAAGCAACAACACCCCAGTAGCAACAAACAGACAAAGTGTCCAGATCATGGTTTCTAATATCATTCTCCAATAAAAGTAATCAGAGCTCATTGGAGAAGTGACAGATTCTAGGACTAGGGCAGGAAATACACAAGATAAGCCTGAAACCTCTTGTAGTGTCAAAAGTAAGGAAGTGTTAAGACACACACACACACAAGATGGGGTGTATCAAAGGGACACAGGAGCCCACTAAAGAGTTCACAACGGCCAAAGCTGGAACACTTCAAGCAACAAAATAAAGTAGTATTGGCTTATAAAACAGAGCATAAAATAAATATCTATGAGTCCATGCTAGTATAAACAACTGAATAAATAAATAAATGGGAGAAAATAAGCAAATCTCCCACGCAGAATTCCAAACAATTTATGTAAATAATTCATTCTCAAGGAAGTGGAACGTAAGCCCCCTTAAGCGTGGGCTGCCATAATGACTTCTTCCTTCCAAAAGGTACATTGTGGAAAGGAGGAAAAAGTTAAAAAAAAAAAACTGACAAACACTACCTCCACCAGGTATACAGATTTCTGTGGGTCAAGAATTCACGAAGAGCACAATAGGACAGCTTGTCTCAATTCCATTATGTCTGGGGCCTCAGCTGGAAGATTTAAAGGCCGGCACCTGGAATCCTCTAAAAGCTTTTTAACTCTTAAATCTGGCATTTAATTCTGGCTGTTAACTGAGATCTTAGCTAGAGCTGTTGGCCAGAACACATACACATGGCCTCATCATGCGGCCTGGGCTTCCGCACAACATGGTGGCTGTTTTCTAACAACGAGCAAACTGAAAGAGAGTGGGATGGAAGCCATACTGACTAATTATAATCTAAACTTGAAAGTCACACAGCATCACTCCTACCACATTCTATTGGTCAAGGTAGTTGCAAACACACACCCAGTTTAAGAAGAGCATTGTTAATATTGTATTGCATGAAGAGCTTATGGGATGGAATATATATTGGTTCAGCCATTAAAAAGAAAAAAAAAAAAAAATCTGCCAGAGTACCAGATATACCTGAAACAATCCTTCAAGTTCCTCTTAAGTGAACGTACATAACTTCCAAGTTAGGCTATAAAAAATAATAAATAAATAAACACAGACAGATAAAACTTCACCCTGTTTAGCTAGAATGACTCCTCCATTTGGTTCACTAAAGATTGTTTCTCTCAGATACTGGCAACTCCTCTCATACTCTGCAAATACTTTAGAGTGTCGGCCATGTGCCAGGCTCTGTGCTGGATTCTAGACAATTAAGAATCCCTACCTTTAATGAGTTTACGGCTTGTAAGCCAATACAGAAGGTAACCAGGAAATTATATTTCATTGTTTTCATCGTATTTCATACAAATGTGTTTTTGTATGACAACAATCATAAGTACCGGGTACACGCGCAGACATGTTACCCTGGCCTGGGAGTTGGACAACTTCCCAAGGGAAGCAACATCTGAGCTATAAAGGATTTACAAGTGGGAGTTAGCCAGGAAATAAGTATCCGTGATGGGGGAAGAGGAGGGAATAAGATAACTGGAAACAGAGGGAAGAGCAGGTTCCCAATTCCAGAGGCAAGAGTAAGTATGGCACAGCCATAGAAGAGTAAGTAGTTTATTACGGCTTGACTGTTTATTTTGAAAATAGGAGTGGGACTTGAGGCTAAAACGTTAAATGAGAGCTAATCAAGGAAGGGGTTTTCAAAGTTTTATTAGTGGGGTTACCCTGGTCGCACAGTGGTTAAGAGCTTGGCTGCTAACCAAAAGGTGGGCAGTTTGAATCTACCAGCCACTCCTTGGAAACCCTAAGGGGCAGTTCCATTCTGTCCTGTAGGGTCTCTATGAATCGGAATCGATTGAACGGCAACAGGTGTGGTTTTTTTTCAGTGGTTACCAGGGGCAGGACGGAGGAAGAAAGGGGGAGCCACTAATTAGGAAGCAGTGAGTTTGTTTATGGTGATGGAAAATTTGACAGTTATTGGTGATGGTTGCACAACATGATTAATGTAATTGATATCACTAATTTGTATACATGAAAAATGTTAAATTAGCAAATGTGTTATATATTATTTTATAATAATAAAAAAGAAAAGAAGGGTGCTATAAAGCATATTAAGGAGATTGGCTATACCATCAATCAGACCTTTTAGTCCGGGCTGCTCTGCCAAGGCCCTCAGAGGTCCTATGCAAAGCAGCTGGGGCTGTGCCCTCCAGTTCAGAGACTCCTTCAGGCTCTACTGTACCATTCATGAGGGAGGGAATTTTGTCGGATTTTGCCTGTTTATATAACTCCAGTGCCAAGAATACTTGGCACATAAGGATGCCATAAGAATTTGTTGAATGAATAAATTTATTTTATCTTTATCTTTGTCCTGTGGCTTCAGATTTGGATTCCTCACTGTCACTATTTTCTTTGGACAAAAACTCCATTGGGCAGTCTTTCCACCTCTTGGCTCATGCTCAGCTCCATATGCTGTGACCTGAAGATAAGACCTGCCCTTCTATGCTTCCCAGCCACTGCTCCAACCAAGCGAGCAACCTAACCGAAGCTATTGCTCCTCTGAAAGTTCTAGAAAGCACTTAAAGAGAACCATGCTTTTGAAAATTCATTGACTCTAACATCTTCAAAATTCCAGAACATTTAATTGTGCTCATGCAGAACCTGTACATAGATCAAGAGGCAATTGTTCAAACAGAACAAGGGGATAAAGCATGGTTTAAAATCGGAAAGGTGTGCATCAGGGTTGTATCCTTTCACCATACCTCTTCAATCTAT